TGCGGATCATGACGATTTTTAATCATATCCGGATCAGGAAGTCTGATTTATCCCTGATAAGTTTTCAGGCAATTCTGGCCATGATTGGACTATATACTGGACTAATTTCCAGTCTGGGAGAGGTTCAGACCATTGCTTAGCATTCGGATGAGTATTCTGAACGACACCGGTTCGATTTCAGGTCTGTCTACTCTGGTTCAAGTTATTTTGTAGTATCCATGAATCACCTTACAATTAGGCAAACGCTTTAGTAGTAATTATATTCCACACATTCCACCTTACCCTCCGTCTAAAGATTTGCTATTTTTCAAACAAGAAGATTTCGTTAAATTCAACAAACGAGTTTATGTCTTTATTTTATGGTACTTATTTCTTCATCTATTGATATTAATTTAGGTCTTATTGTTTCCATGATCATATTTTTTTGTGAGAACAAGCTTGAATTCCATACAAAATTATTTGTCCGTCTTTCAAGAATCTTTGTACATAATTACAGTTAGACATTCTTGGAAACAATTTCAAGTTTCATGGTAAACGAAAAGAATGCAACATATTCGAGTTAAAATTAAAGCTTTCGTGATTATCTTAAAACAAATTAATTTCGTTGAGCTTGTTTCACAGGGAAAAAATAGGTAAATACATATATGTATAAAACACACGCTCAGTACGTGACCCAAAACACCATTGCTGTTCCTGTGACATGACACTTCACAGCTCAAGATAATATATAAAACTTATCTTGGGATTACTTTAGAGATAGCATTTTATGAACCTTTTGTACGGTTAATCATAATTGGTAAGCAAATATTTGGATAGGAATTATCAAGAAAATACTACGTTTGGCGTTTTAGAACAAATAGAATCGTGATCTACATAGACATGTGTCCGTGTAAATAGTAATGTCATAAAATTCTATAAATAAACAAATAAAAACTGGGTAAGTACGAGCTCCACCTGTGCCTAGTGGATTCCATTCAAAAAATTGGTAAATATCTAGATAATGGGGGGGATCGAAAGAGGAGGTCTCCCCAACCACTGTACCAGAGAAAGTTCGTGGCAATCTCACCCCCATAAAATATTATGGGGGTTAGATGGTGGTGGTGGTAGGGGGGATAGAAAGAGGGTAGGGGGGATCGAAAGAGGGTGGTCACCTGAGTAAAACCCTATAAAAAATATGCGGTTGTCTCACCCCCATAAAAAGTTATGGGGGTTGAAAGTTGATTATTTTGACAATTTTCATACACTATAATTCAAATAAAATTCAATAAAAAAAAATATTTTCAAGCGGGTGGAGGTGGGGGGTCGAAAGAGGGTGGTCACTTGAACAAAACCCGATAACCTAACCTAACCTACTCTATTGATAAAGATATTTAAATAATGTTTTATATAACTTTGTCAATATTTTTATGTATGTTTCATTAGTTTTACCTTTGAATATTGTTTAAGAATGACTGTATAAATATTTACATGCCTAGAAATGTATAAAAATTAGCATATTTATTAATTTTGAACCCCTATAACTTTTTATGGGGGTGAGACCGTTTCGAACTTTTTATGGTACAGTAGTAGGGGAGACCTCCTCTTTCGATCCCCCCGCATCATCTAGACTTTTACCAAAAAATTTCTTTTCCAAAGTAAATTTATAAACTCCTAGATCAAAAGTAATAGAGATACGGGCTTTAGAGGCGCATTTTCAGTAACATTTTAGTAGAAAGTAGTAGTAGTAGTAGTAACGAAACGGTAAATATTTCAAAAATCTCGAGCTAAATTTCCATTACTTCTTAAAGGAAACTAACTGTTTTATATACAGATACAAACATTACGTTTCAATTGAAAAATTAGGCAATAAATGTAAACTAGAAGCAACAGTTAGCAAACTCTGGAATGTAACGTTGTTCACGTTTAAGTAGAACTCCGATATCTCATTAGAATTTAAAATTATGATGATGTTTTTTGAATTCTTAATAATTAAAAAATGTATGGCTTCGTTATAATTACTTCTACCATTACTGCTGTTTGTCTTCTGTTTTTCGTTCTGGTTGAACTACCAGGTAGAATTTAAATATTATGGAATGCTGAAGCTGAATAGCTTAGTGGCGAAATCAATTTCCTACAAAGATTAACAAACGAAGAAACATGACCACGGTAATACTCCCTTCGTCCGTGCTGTCTTTTCCTTTCGCAACCTTATGATCGTAATATGTCTATCATAGCTTGAACGACAATTAAGACATTGTCTATTTAGATACTGTCTAACAATATGTCGAAACTGAATGCGGCCACGGGTGCCTAATTGTACGAGGGCTGTTCAATAAGTACCCGTGTTTGAAGACAGAGGACGTTTCTGAGGGAAATTGATGTTGTCATCGTGTGCTGCCATCTATCAAACCACGCCAAAACGAATTTCAGACTAAGTGATAGGTTAGTTTGGATTTGGGAGCCATTCGACTGAGACTTGTTTCGTTATTTTCGTTAAGATGGAAAAAGATCAGTATCGTTCGGTAACTCGCTTTTTGTTTTTGGATGGGAAAAAATGCGAGGAGATGAAAACAAAGTTGGATACTGTTTATGGAGGCATTTCGCCATCTACGACCACAGTTAGATATTGCTTCAACGAATTTAGACGTGAGCAAAGATCCGTTTTTGATAGGAGGAAGCCTGGCAAACCGAAGAAATCATTTTACGGATTTTTTTGGAAAAGGAAGAACTATCACTGGACAATACTACAGTGAATTATTGGACCGCTTCAACAAAAAATTGAAGGAGACACGGACGCATTTGACGAAAAAGAAGGTGCGTTTTCAACACGATAACGCACCGGCACATTCATCAGGAGTAGTTGTCGCCAAAATGCATGAATTACGTTATGAATTTGCTGCCGCACCCCCGTACTCACTCGATTTAACTGCCTGCGACTTCATCTTGTTCCCTACCATGAAGAAATGACTAGCGAGAAATAAATTTAGCTCAAACGAGGAAGCCATCGCCGAGACGGGAGATTTTGGAGAGTTCGACAAATCTTATTTTTTGGAGGGGTAAAAAAAATGGCAGGGTCGTTGGGAGAAGTGTATCTTTCTAAAAGGGGACTATGTTGAAAAATAAAAAAACAAATTTAAAAAAAAAGGTGTCTTCATTTCTAACACGGGTACTTATTGAACCGCCCCAGTAGATATGCCGAAATGCTTAAATGTTAAACTTAAACATCTTGGTATTTTTCAATACCTATAACAAAAAGAGATGCGTGCCCAAATCATTATCATCAGAATGTTGAACCAGTGCTGAAATGCAGGTGGGAATGCTACGGTATGAGTAAGTGGACTTGAGGATTTTCAACAAGAACATATCTACACGCAAATCATTCTTTCACGTAGTTCTCGAAGCTTCGAGAAAAGGCAAGACATGACATGACCACACATGACTACGGCAAGGCATCTTTCGTTCCATCAATCCGTTCGTGTTATCGTGTTATTTTTTCCTACTGTAATCCTAATAATGGAGGTAAAGGACCAGAACTAAATGACAATTGATAATGCGATCGGTTACCTGCACAGTCACTCCCTGAATAATTGAAATTGATCAATCAGTGCAGCCACAGGCGTCGAATTGTATGAATGCCTAAATGATTACCGTGACCTACAAGTTTAGATCATTGCTTATCATTCGGGAAGACACCGCTTGGATTCAGGGTTTGTCTGTCCTGGTTCAACTTCGTCTGTGTGGATCTGTAATATTCCACACATAATCTATCACTCTCTTCTGTCTTCATTTCGTCCGTATCATCTTTCTCACCCCAATCAACACCACCCACCCACTCTTACGATTCCTAAAACGAAGCTGAAAGGGGCCCTCTGCCTTAATCTCTGACATAGTCTGGAGGGATTGCCCATCTAGCAGAATTAGTAGTTCATGAGAATGAAAAACTCAAAAATTTTTTTTGGCGGATACCCACAGTACCATTAACCGTTACCTCGTGAAAGTCTAAAGGAAGTGCACAATCCGCTGCATATGAAACGGATACCCATCCCATTTAGATACCTTTAATTATTTCATTAATTACTTTTACTAATCGCAAGGTTTCATACGCTAGCCTTATTCTAATAGGTGCATCATAGTTGTTCTTGGTCTAGATACACAACACTTGTAATTCGTTGTACCCTTACACATACACAATAAGTAAATTTCATGCTATCTGATAAACAATTCTTGATAACAAATATACCTACACGAACTGATTATGATAAGAATAGTACCTAATAAATTACTCGACACTTAAAAATAGAATGCGATCGGTAATAATGTACCTCTTACGTACCTTGTACTCACACTGTTCTTTGAACCATAATTATTATCCTAAATATATTGACTATTTACGAATTTCAAGTGAAATTGCATCACGCGCCAATTTTTTAGGTAACTACTTGGCAACATTCCCTTGTGACAGAGTTAACCGGTATGATACACTTGAATTAACGATAACTGCCGATTTCTGTAATCATCATCAGCAACTAAAGGTCGTCAGTCCTAAGATTGGTTGGACAACCTCCACTCTTTCCTATCCTGAGCTAACCATCGCATTTCCTTAAAACTAGAACTATTTGCGAACAGTAGATATTGTAATCTAGGTCTACCTCTACTCCTCTTAACTCCTGTTTCTGCCTCTAATATGTCTCTGACTAGCCCTTCATGCCTACCAACCTTTATCGTCTATTTCTTATTGACTTCCATAGAGTCCTCTGTTATTCTATTGATTCTATCTAATACTTATTCATTTCTAAACTTCTCTATCCACAATATCCTCATCATATATCTACAATGTCTCACTTTAAATTATTAACAAGTTTCGTCCTTTGACTTTCGACTTTGAAAACTTTTATCTTTAGTACTGTACTTGACCTTTTAACAATTGAGTTATCGCCAAATTTATTTTGGTTTTCTAAGTTTATCTACCTGTACTTATGCACGTACGTAGGTCGTGTACAATAAATTATTTTGTCGCTTACCAGATTTTCGTTTCTCCGGTAATACCAAAGACTTTGTCCTTTTCACGCGTAAGGATTTTCTCCGTATGGATCGCATGAGCGATTCGTGCATCCTGGGTCTTGGAGTATCCGGGGGCGGTTTATTTCTCTCAAAATTTGGTAACAACCAATTTTTCACGGTCGTCATCGATATACCGTGTTTCGATTTTTTCGGGGTTGGAGTCACTTCCGATTTTAAATCCACCATTATTACACTCGTTAAAACCGAACTCATCAATACATAAACTAATTCACAAGAAACAAACGTCGCAAAGTCTTAAATTGTAATCAAAAACATCGTACCTACTTACTTAAGTCACTTGTCGGTGCGAAAATTAAAGTTGAACGCGACTTATATTGCTTGCGCGCGCGTATTACTGAAACGAAAGTCAACAACGTACTTTGTTGCTTCAAACACGAACGCCGACCACGATCTAATACGCCTCGTGCGTTGTAATTGCCGGGAATGCGGCAAGCTCTACGAAGCCAATCATAAGGAGATCTCAGTCCCTTCCATGTCCTGCACCGCGTGTTTCGGACGAATTGAAATGCATTGCTCACTTAAGTTTAATAAAGCTTTCCGAAAGCTTGGCCTTTCAAGTTGGAGAAAAACACCTGAATTTATCAATATAAGATTTGAAAGTTACAATCTATGGTAAATATCGCGAGCTGTAGTTGTAACAATTAATTTAATAATGAGTGCAAATAAATAAATGACTTATGGTTATTATTTTTATAATAAAGTAGTTGACTCGTCAGACTTCGTACTGCCTTAATGGATAAATAAAAAACCTAAACTTTTGTATAAAATAAACTTAGTTGTCAAATGTCAAATATTATGGTTGCGTTCAGAAATTTAATTTGTGACAAAACTTGAGATTTATCAATCTACATAAAAATAATCTGAAAGATAATTAACAACTGTCATATTTATTCACCTTTTAAACCTTCTCTGGACTTCCACAAATAATTCAAGACCAAAATTAGCCAAATCGGTCCATCCGTTCTCGAGTTTTAGCGAGACTAACGAACAGCAATTCATTTTTATATATATAGA